AAAAGCATTGTTCACATCTAATTGAAATAGCTCTTAGTTCTTCTTAGCTGCAGTAGCAACTAAAGTTCTAACAGTGGTCATCTTTACTACTGGAGAAAAAGTTACTGTGTAATATATGCCAGCTTTTTGTGTATAGCCTTTTACAACTAATCTGGCTTTGTACCTTTCCACACTCCCATCTGCTTTATGCTTTACCTTGAAGACCCACTTGCAGCCTATGGCTTGTTTCCCAGCAGGTAAAGGGACTAAAATCCAAGTGTTGTTTGCATGAAGTGCTTCAAATTCCTGAATCATGGCATGCTGCCAGGAAGGATTGACTGTTGCTTCTTCATAAGACAAGGGCTCCCTGTCATTATAGATGCTTTTTACAACCTGCTGACTATCAGCATTATAGACATCAGGAGTAATATGGTTGTTTTGGGCAAAAAGAGCATTGAGAGAAAAGGAAGGGTTGATCTGAGTGGCTTCAGCATTCTGAGATTATTTTAGGTTAGGCATATTACAAACATATTCAGACAAATAAGATGGAGTTTTAGATATTCTATTGGACACCCTTTGAATTGGTCTCATAACAGAAGATGAGGGTTGGTCTACCCTGGAGGTGATTGAAGGGATTAAGTCTGGTGATGTGGTATTAAGTGTAGGAGGTGAATGTATAGTATGATTAGGTGACATTGGGATAGTTGTGTGTGGTTCTACTAGGTGATGGTGAGTAGAGTTATATGTCTGAGAAGTTAAAGGGTTGTGGACTGGATAAGAACTGCAGTCAGTAGAATGATCTTGATGTGTGACAGAATTAGGCAAGAGAAAAAAAGAATTTGGTATAGGTGGGAGTGAAAAGGGAAGATTGATTCATGAAAAATCACATCTCTGGACACACAAATTTTCTTAGTAGTTAAGTTCAGTACCTTGTACCCCTTTACACTAAAAGGATATCCTATAAAACATGTGGAGAAATTCTTGGTTCAAATTTATCTCTATGAGGCTTAGCTACGGTTGGATAACATAGGCAACCAAAACTCCATAAGTGTGAGTAGTTTGGTTTCTTTCCATACAGAAGCTCAAAAGGGCACTTGTTTTTCAAAGGTATAGTAGGTAATCAATTGATGAGAAAGGTTGTTGTAAGTACACACTCTCCCCAGTATCTCAATGGAAGTTTGGCTTGGAACAATAAGGTTCTGGCAGTCTCCAATAAGTATTTGTGTTTTCTCTCTACTATGCCATTTTGTTGGGGTGTATAGGGGCAGGTTCTTTGGTGTTCAATACCTTTTGCCTGAAAGAATGAAGTGGCTTCATTGCTAGTGAATTCCAAGCCATTGTCTGATCTGATACACTTTTTTGGTGGTAAATTGTGTCTCAACCATGGATATAAAATTCCTGAAGGTGTGTAGTGCATTACTTTTGCAACTGAGTAGATGAGTCCAAGTGGATTTACTAAAGTCATCTACCATGGTGAGAAAGTACTTGAAATTATCATGAGTGGGCACATGATAAGGTCCCCACAAATCTATGTGTAGGAGGTCGAATATGGCAGGGGTGTTTGTAATCTTTGGAGGAAAAGGAAGTCTAACTTACCTGGTCATAGAGCATATAGAACAAAGGAAGGGTTGTCTTGGTGCAAAGTCTGCTGGTATATTGGATATCATTTTCATCTTTGCAAAAGGTACATGACCAAGTCTATAGTGCCATAACATGTTCATATCATTCACATCATTTGAAAAGAATTCAGAATTACAATCCCAGTATGTTTTATTGCAATGAGAATTATTTACAATAGGAAGTGGAGACACAGTATTCACAGTAGAACTGGGATGAAAAGAAACACATTGAGTATTTACAGATGGACTAGTTTGACAGGAATGAGAAAAACAAGGTGTTATAGTAGCATGGTCTGCATCCTTCTTTACTGCTATAGGATTTCCTTTATTCAGACAGTCTGAGCAGAGAAGGTACAATCCATCATGGACCTTACCAATCTCCAAAGGCCTCTTCAGAGAAGGGGCCTGTAGAAAACAACATGTGTTAGAAAAGAAGGCTAGACATTTGAGATGTGTTGTCAAGGAGCTAATAGAAATGAGATTGTATTTGAAGGTTGGGACAAATAGAACTTTGTATAAGATTATTTTGGGTGTAAGAGTCACAGTTTCTATTTCAGTGACCTTGACTTTGTAGCCATTTGGCAGTTTCACAAGTAAAGGATAGGGTAAAGTAACTATGTTTTGTAAGTGTGTTTTGTTAAAGGTCATGTGGTGTGAGGCTCCTAAGTCCAGAATCCATAAGTCAGCCTTTACTTGAAAAAAATTGCATGACAGCTTGTCAAAATCTGTAGAAGAAGTACAAGTCACAATACCTGCAAAATTTCCTGCAAAATTCATTGTTGCATTAGCTGGATTTGTGTTTGAACTGTCCCATGTTCCATCACTATGAAAGTGTTGGAGGAGTCTCACCACTTGATCATATTGCTCCTTTGAGAGGTTTACATTCTGGTTGTTGTTGCCTCCTTGATTCTCTAGATCTTCTCCTTTGTTGACATTGTATCAGATGGCATAGCTTGTGCACCAGCCACATCATTTGTTGTAATGTTCCTTACTCTATTGTTCCTGGGATACTGATTATAGTTGTTTGAGTTGTAACTTTGAGTTCCTTGCCGATTAAATTGTTGTAAATATCCATGAAGTTTGAAGCACTTTTCCTTGGTGTGACCTTGTTTATTGCAGAAGTCACAATAGGGCCTAGGTCTATTGTTCACGGAGAAATTTGTTCTGAATGATCTTAGAGCTGTAATGCTGGTGTTCATTGCACTAGACTCAAAATTCAACTGATTCTTTGGTCGAAACTCTCTTTTCTTTTCCTCTTGTACTAGAAGGGCAAAAGCATGTGCCATTAAAGGCAATGGATTCATCATCAGAATGCTCCCTCGAACTACAGTGTAGACCTCATTCAAACCCATTAGGAATTGTATTAGTCTCATGTCTTGCTCAACTTTGTGCATGTTCTCTTTTGCACCACAAGTGCACTGACAGTTACCTACTGATTTAGCACTCATATTGGTCAATTCTTCCCATAACTTCTTCATTTTAGTATAGTATCCAGTGATGTCAAGCACTCATTGGCTCAAGTCATTAATCTCCTTTTGGATCTGGTATAACTTTTCTCTATTTGTTTGATCATAACGATCTTCAAGTTCTCTCCATAGCTCAACTGAAGTGTTCACATACTCCACACTATCTGTAATTTCTTTTGCAAGTGAATTCAAAATTCGCGAGGTTACCATGTCATCACACTTCTCCCATTGCTTAAAACTCGACGAATTCGAATTAGGTTCCACACATTCTCCAGTGATGAAGCCTAATTTGTTTTTAACAGAGAGAGATCTCAATACACCTCTCCTCTATAAACGATTTTCTAGTCCATCGAAAGGCACTGGAACCAAAACTAGCCCAGAGCTATCAGAAGAATGAATGTAAAGTGGACTACTCACATCGATCGTCGATTGAATTTATGTTGTTGTCATGTTCATAGTGTCCGCATCACCTATCGCCATGTTTGCTTTAGCTCAAGATCGGGATTGAATAATAAGAAAAGTTGATTGACTGAGAAAATGAGGACACAGAGATCCTCGATCGAATGAGTTAAAATGTGAGCCCTAACTTTGAATGTGAAGAGATCAATAGACTGCGATCTATGTTTCAGTGGATCGTCTTGTCAAAAGAGCAAGACTCTGATACCATGTTAAGCTTGAAGAAGCAAGAGCTCAGAGAGCTTCACAGCCTACGATGGCGGAAGCAGTTAGAAGCTTCCAAAGGATCGAAGCTAAGGCAGAAATGGAATTCTCAAATGAGTGAAAAGAGAATCACATTTCAATTATGCATAAGCTGGAATATATACAATCAAATTAGCTAATGACAGCTAAGCAACAACTAATCAATCTCTAACCAATTAACTAACCGACCTCTAACTAACAGCTATAACTAATTATCGGAAGTCATTGACTAACTAACGGAATGAACAGTACAGCCTCTAACTAACTATTAATTAAGTATCGGAAAGGAATATAAAATACAGATTTCTTATAATCTTAATATCCCCCCCCCCTCAAGTTGGAGGTGGAGAATACACTGCCAACTTGCCCAAGACAGTGGAATGCTTGATCCCAGTGAGGGATTTGGTGAGAATGTCAGCGAGTTGATCACCAGTTCTAATATGTTGAAGCAAGATGAGGCCTTCTGTGAGCTTTGTCCTAACGAAGTGGCAATTAACTTCAATGTTTTTAGTACGTTCATGAAAGACTGGATTCCTGAAAATGCGGAGAGCAGATTGACTGTCACAAAATATAGGAATAGGTAGAACATGAGGTACAGTCAATTCTGTGAGCACACGATGCAGCCAAACAAGTTCACCAATGACCTTTCTAATGGATCTATACTCTGCTTCTGCTGAAGAAAGGGAGATAATTTCTTGCTTCTTAGATTTCCAACTAATAGGACTGTTGCCCAAAAGAACAAGGTATCCTGACACTGACTTCCTAGAGTCAGGGCATGCAGCCCAATCAGAATCACAGTAGCAGCCCAATCAGAATCACAGTAGGATTTTACTGAGAAATCATTATCACTGAACATGAAAAGACCCAAGGTGGGATCCTTGAATAGGTATCTGAGCATATGGTATGCTGCCTGAAGATGAGGTTCTCTAGGGTCCTGCATATATTGACTTAGATGATGTACCCCATAAGCTAGTGATAAATCCTCAAACTATTCAACTTTTTGTGCCCCTTAGAGAATTTTAAGAATTGTTTTAAGACAACAATCATATAGCTGGCTCTGGCTGGACTTTGACGCTATTCACTCACATTTTTGGTTGGAACGCAAGTTTCGTCCATTTTGCTCTTGCTGCTACTTAATTTGTAAGTTTATTTTGTGTATTGCAGAAATAAAATGATTAATTTGTAGGCGAATTAACGTGCTGCTCGGCAACATGAGTCCCATCCAAATTGTACAACATTCAAAATTAAACACCGCAAATTAATTAGTGAAAGAATTTATAGGAACGAGTTGGGTAAAAACCTCTAGCATCCACACACTCCCAAACAGGGATGCAATTTACATACTCAGGCTTCATACTACGTAAAAGCGAAGGAGAATACATATCACATATAAAAGTAAACTAGGCACGGCAATTTTCTCTGTCACCAACTAAACAGGAATGGCAGTTTTTTTATGCTGCTTGACGCTGATTACGTGCCTTCTCCTTCTCTTTGACTTCACTTCCTTGATTAGTATCATACTCTATTTTTATTAATAAAAAAATAGATGAATTGACATTAGAAAACATATTAAGAGCAAGAAGATTAATATATAAATAACCATTTAATTAGTAATTTACCAGGGGCTTTTCCATGGATTATCTTTTCCTCATCCTCTTTGTTTCCTCCATAAACGCCTCCAAAACCTTCTTCATCCGATCTCGTCGCATATCCATCTCCAAAGCTGCTCGACATTGTGTCCCTTCAATCCAATAAATACGAACTACACTCTTGGTAATGATCCAAACACTCAAAATAGAGACCCCAAAAAAAATGGAAAGAACACAGGGGCATGACTTGACCGCAGGCATAAAACATGGATCAAAAATTTCACTACACCTCTACTGTTTCCCTAACGATGACCAAGTACAAACACCAGTTTAAATTTATGTGGCACTATTATTATCATTGGTAGTTGCAGAAATTAATTTTTCTTCTGTCACTATTTTCATATTACCAGCTTATTTTTCAACGCTCGAACTAAAGATTATTCTAATTGAGCACATAAACATGATAAAGTATCCCTATTAAACACTTCTTTCCAGGCTCAAAGGCTAATTCTCAAAGCCTAAATAAGTTAATCACTTAAAATATGCCACCTGCATACATCAATGATACATATCATATATGTTGAAGTTTGGCAAAATGCCAAAGTCCCACATTGGTTGGGAGTTAAGTTTGGGGGGATTTTTCCCCTATAAAAGAAGGCCTAATGTTTAGGATTGAAACACACCTCTCATTTGCCTTCTCATCTGTTTAAGGCATTTGTATCTTCTCTCTTTAGTATTATTTCACTTGTATTTTTGGAGTGGAATAAAATATTTGGTTGTGTCCGAGGAGTAGGCAAAATTAGCCGAACCTCGTAAATTCTGGTGTTCCCTTTATTATTGCTTTATTGTCTTATTTATTATTTGGTGGTTGTCATAATTTTTGGTATAGTAGTTGTGACTTATTCACACTCTATACATTTGGCTTCCGCAACAATATATACCTTTGTTATAACAACCAAAAACAAGACCATAAAAACCCCAATTAATTAAAAACAAGACCAGCTCCATTAAACAAAAGACCTCCATTAAAAAAGAAAATTAATCAAGAGCCATTTTCAAATCCTTCCAAAAAAAAAAGAAAATCACGTGTCAATAGGAACTTCATCGTGTGTCCAGTTGCTCAATTAGAAGAGGTGAGTAGGAGTATTTAAATGAAATATGCTACCCAGTTTAAGGGGCTGTCAATGTGTTCCTATACACTTTCTTAGAGAAGTAATTTTACTGAAAAAAGAAAAACGCAAGGTAAGGAAACTTACGCAGCTTTGTGTTCTGCTTCGTCTGCAGGTTTCTTAGTTTGATCCATCTTGTTGGTATTGTCCGGTTGGCCAGCCGATGTTACGACTTGTCTGAATCTGATTTCAGAGGACTTTCGACCAATATGATAAGGCAAAGGATTTGAGAATACAGAGGGTGATTGTGCTCTAATTGTGGTTAATCTTATTGCGTTGATCATCTTCAAGTTCGATTCTTGATAATTCGATTTATATTATAGTAGCAGTTTACAAGTGTTATGTATTAAAGGGGACGAAACTGATGATGAAATGGTGATCTGATCTGTTTGAGAGTGAATTTTGTCCTGGTCTTGCTCTGGACATGTACTCTTAGGTTTCTCGTAGCTTCCCACGTATGGTTTGTTTTTGACAAGTGTGTCCGCTCGAATTATTTACAAGTCGCCACCTAAGTTTATTTCTTTCTATTGCATGACACGTATAGACTCATCGTTATGATTTTACAGTTTACTTCATCCTAGTTCTTTTTAAAGATACTGGAATAGATAAAATAATTTATTTTTAAAATTCCAATTAATAGTACTTACGTAATTTCGATAAATAGTTAAATGTCGTGCTCATTTAAAGATCATTAAGAGATTTGATAATGAAAATTCTTTGTATTAAAAATAATCATAATATAAAAATTTCTACATCCCTATCCTTGAGAAAACATTGAAAATCGACCTTTAAATGGGATGTAGTCTACCTTGAGTTGCTGTTAATATCCACACATCTATAGCAGTTTGTGGTCTTTTATAATTGTACATCAGTGACTTCCAACAATCCGTTATCGTCCAGCGGTTAGGATATCTGGCTTTCACCCAGGAGACCCGGGTTCGATTCCCGGTAACGGAATTTTTTTTTTGGTCACAAAAATGAGAAACATATCCCCGGTGGCGCTTTCTTCTCTCGTTTGCCTTTTTGGTTTTTTTCCCCTTTTTCGCTTGAACCACCTTATTCTATTTGATCTCCCAGAGGCCAGACGTAAAAAGGGACAAGTTTGACCTTCTTTGTAGTTTGATAATCAAGTTCCCTGCTATTTCTCTAAATACACCTTAGAAGAGCGTAGCAGCTATGTCAGCTCACTAAGGAAAGTAAATTATTTCCTACCATAAATTTGTCCCCTCCATTAGAGAAGTTCTCTGATCACAGTGGCAAATCCAACCCAGCCAGCCTGCACAGGTTCCTTCTGAAGATGCTAACTACAGAAAGGGGTTAAGAGCTGTGGGTTTGTAGTGCATGGAATGGTAACATTATGCTGACCCAGAAAGTAATTCTAATAAAATGAAATATAAGAAAATGGTGCTAGGAAAAATTCATGGAACATAGCCCTCTTTAATTTAAGATGAAGTCTGCAAATATGATAAAGATTTACAGAATGCTGCCAATGTTACCAATGGGTACTTCAATGCACAACTATGTGCTCCAAAACCGTAAATTTGCAAAATCAGATTAACTTAATCAACATTGTGCGGCTCCCAAAAACATCTAATTTCTGCAAATAAACCAGGCTGATGAGTCATTTTATCAGCTGTTGAGCGTAGAAAGCATGCCTCCAGTTGCAGTTGGAATAACAACTTCCCAGCCAGGTCCTTTAAGAGGAAGGACATTTAGACTTGATTCAGGGTTAACATCTTCGCTTGGAGGACCAACAAGTAAATCAATTCGGTCTAAAACCCTCTGTAGATCCTCATCACTAAGATCTGTCTGCACCAACTTGTCCTCTTCGCTATCTTCATCTCTCAAAAGCGCCAACAAGTCCTCTTCCTGATACACAAGAATCACTATTAGCAAAAATCACCAGCTACTTTCTTCTACTTCACTATCAAAGATTATCCAATCCATTTCATTATCACAGCATTAATAACGTGTAAGAAAAATGACGGTTACATTGACAACAAAATGCGTTGCACTGGAACTACGGCACAGCAAGCTACGACTGTTTTTTCCCGCTGAATCAAAAAGAAAAACCATTCACACCAATGTAGGCAATGTTATAAAAACTGGTGTAGGTTTCAACACGATGTACTATTTAAAGGATGTCAAATTCAACTACAACCAGAGAAAACAACTCAGTGTTACACATAAAAGATAAGGAGCATCTTGCAGGGGTAAGAAACACAAACCTCCACGATATCTGTAGTAGGCTTATTTCTTTCTTGCTTAAATTGTCCTTTTCCAATCACTACATGCTCAAGCTTCAACTTGCTGAAAGCTCTTTTGAGAATTCGACCCTAAAGCACACATTTAGCTCATTAGAAAAGAGTATAAAGAGCTGCTAAGATGTAGTTTTAGAAACAGCCTGAATAGTACCTCCACCGAGAGAGCAGTTGCAAGCCTATAAACATGAACAGGTTTTGTCTGACCTATTCTATGACACCGATCCATAGCCTGGAGATCCATTTGGGGATTCTGAAAACAGAAGTGCAAATTACTGATTGATCTAACTGTCCATCCAAATAGTAAGTAAAAGAACAGAATATGAATGAAAGAAATAAGTGGAAACGTTGCTTCTGAAGGGAGAAGGATTAGCATATCAATGAAGTGATCCTACATGAAGAGGCAAGGCAACATGCAGTAAGAGCTTCTGATAACTTTGTTTCAAACAGACTCCACTTAAGTGGCATATCACCACACTGTATCGTATCAAATAAGATGATCGAGTGGATCGTAAATCCAGTAGTTTCATAACCACCCCACCCCCAAACATAAGGCGGGCGATTATAGAAGCTTGATACTTAACTTGCTTCCTCATGCTGAAATCATACCATTTTCTGGAAGTGGCCTCATTATGCATGTGTTTTCAGTTTATTAATAGCACGATATCATATAACAATTACACTTCAATCCCAAACTAGTAGGGTTCGGCTCTATAAATCCTCAAATATACATTCCATTCCATGATCCTAACACTCGATGATTAAGGATTGTCTAGATCTCACACTTACCTCTTCACTGACATACAATTTCTAACAAACTAAAAAAATTCCTGCCAAGCACGAGACCTAATGTAAGGTACCAAAAATGACTAAATATTAATCCTAATTAATTGTTACTGCTACATTGGAACTTCCATTGTGTTCTGATTTTCACCAAGTCCACATGAATTTCAAGAGGTTCCCTCTCAATGAGATTTTATGTCTAGCTCATTCATTTTTGACATCTTCAGAAAATATGGTGTCACCCAGTGGCCAGTGCACTTGAAAATCAACATAGAATATGACCAAACCATCTAGGTGAACTACTCTCATTTTTCCCCTTAACAATGAGAGTATTTCTATGACTCACTCAGCATTATTAGTCTTACAACCATCCTATCGAAGTTATCTTTCACTTAATTAGGTATATCTCTGTCAGCTACCACATAAGAATATTCATGTAGTACTCATCTATTTCAGCTATCCTATTTAATTCGACATGTTACATCTAAGTCTATCATGCTTTTCTCCTGAAAAGTTCAGCCTAAAAACCTGGATTGTCTGCATTAGGCATCGCAATCTCATCTAACCTCAACTCAATTTAATTCTTCTTATGCTAGCAGATCTTACAGCACATATGTTCTTACTCATACTTATCCTAAGACCTTACTCTCTAGAGTATCATTGGTAATAACGTTATTCTTTATCCTAAACAAAACGATTCGGCAGTGCCTGTAAAATTGCATGTTACATCATCCTTAATTGTTAGTATTGATAAACTGTGAGAACCTCATCTAGCCACATAAAAGGATGGAAACAAAGGAAATCGGAGGAGGCACAAGAAGGTACCCAGTCACTGTCATATAAAATGCAGGTGTCTGCAGCAGTAAGATTAATGCCAAGGCCACCAGCTCTAGTGCTCAGAAGAAATATCCTGCAGTCACTGTTAACATCATTGAACTCCTTGATCTGTTCAGAGCAACAAGTGATTATAATCAGATTTTTTACTTTATAAAAAGGAGTATAATCAGGTCAACTTAATCAAAAGCTTTCAGATAACCCAGTTTTTTAATGCTCCCTCCCAGCCAATTCACTTAACCTGTTCAAATATTATTATTTGTTATCGTAACGAAATCCTTTTTTTTAGATAAGTATTATCAATTTGACTCATGTAGATGAAAAACCATGCCAGTCAGGACAAAGGATTTAAAAGCGAGACCAAGTAAATTGCAAGGCGGGGAGCGGTTTACATACAATAAAGAAGAAAGAACTAACTTTCAGTCCAAAAAGAATACATAACCAACACATCCATGAACCTCACTGATTCTGCCAAACGCGAATACTTGAATGGGAGATCTACGCGGTATGCCTACTGGAAACACTAGTTAACACCATATATAATTAAAATATTTATTTTACTTTGTATACCTACTTTATAAATTTATTTTGCTCTGTATACCTACTGTATTCCAAAATAAAATACTATGTATTTAAAGTAGAATATGGTAATACGTTTGGTTTAGATATTGTATTCCAAATTAGAATACTATAGTATGATTGGTTTGAATCTTGTATTCCAAATTTAAAAATTGTGATATGTTTGGTGTGAACATTCTATTCTAAATTAGAAAATTTCGGTATGTTTGGTTTGGATACTGTATTCCAAATTGAAATCTATAGTATGTTTGGTTTGAATATTGTATTCCAAATTAAAAAAATTTGGAATGTTTGATTTGATATTGTATTCAAAATTGAAAATTGTGGATACTATAGTATGTTTGGTTTGAATATTGTATTCTAAATTAAAAACTTATGGTATTTTAATTTGGATATTGTATTCCAAATTAGAGTGTTGTGGTATGTTTAATTTGAATATTGTATACCAAATTAGAATGTTGTGGTAAATATTTGGTTTAAATAAGGCTAAATACATATACAGACCGTTAAACTTGTCTGTTTTTTCATTTAAACACCTGATCAAAGCTTTGTTCTTATTAAACACTTGTACTCAAACCTAAATGTGTCTATTAGACACAATTCGCTGACATGGCATAGTGTTTGTAATAGACTTACTCTAGGCACGTGAAAGACATTTTTCTTTTAAAATATATTTTTTCACACTTCTTCCCCTTCTCTCTCCTACTACCAATCTCCCCAGATTCCCACTACTGCCATAGCCAACTCCCCTTCCCCTTTCCACACATTCACCACCATCCGCCCACCACTGGCACCACAACCTTTCCTTATGGTATCCCTTCTCTCTCCACAGCACCGGTGCCACCACCATCCTCGTCACCATTATTATTACCAGAATCTCCAACACCCATTTCCAAGATTTATCATTAGAAAAAACACAATTCAAAGCTTGGTACCAAACAATTAATTACAAAGCAAGACTTTTTTTAAATATCAAGACAGTGCTTCTGAATAAGCTTTTAAAGTTTGAAGGTATGAAAT